AGAAGCTCCAACCAGTCTCTGGGGGACTCCAGGATGGTGATGAGGCTTTCATTGCCTTCATTTCCTTATCCCATCTGGAGCCTCTGTCCCAAACACCCACTGTATTAACAGATGGCTCTGGACCTAATAGCACTTATAGCTCTGCTCTGGCATCTTAGGATAGAAAGGAGAGATTGTTGCTGGCTATGGCTGGTCAAATAGGGAAAAGGGTAGACCTGTGGTAGAAAGCTAATTCTCTGCCTCCAGGTCCTGTGCCTCTTCGGTCCTCATGTGGAAACACTGTGTGGGTACCGTTATTGTTGGTCTGAAACAGAGAATGAGAAGGCTGAAAACAAATGCAGCAGCAGTCTGGGTTGCACTGGGAGACGTATGAGATTAGGATGGTGGATGCTGTGATACCAGAGCAAAACAATTTCATCATAGAACATTTCAAACAGAATACAACTAGGATTGGAGTGTCACTGCAGTACTGGAATACTGCAGCTCCTTACTAAACTTTTCTGTTGGAAGAGCTGCTGAACCGCTCCTGTGGCTTGCAGTCTCCTCAAAGCAAAGCATCACAGAGACAGAGGGTTTATACACTGCTGAAATGAGATTAGCAAATTAAGAGGGATCATATCAGCAGATGGTTTAGGCTTCTTTCTGATAATGCAACTGCTGTTACACTTGCTGTGTAGCACTTGAACTTGATCACCCCATCTTCTGAATAAAACTGTACTCACTGCAGTTATTCACTGCAGTGATGTAGAGCTCTGAAGACAGCTTTGGATGAGCAAAAATGGAAGATTGCTGAGGGAAACCTGGACCACGATGGTGGTGCAGTGGTTCCAAAAGGCTTTGGATGCTGCCAAATTCAGCCTGAAACATGAGCACCCAGCATAAAACATGTAGCTGAACTCTAATCTATCAAAAATAATGGTTGGAAGCAGTTCTGAGGCTCTCTTTAGATCAACTCCAAGTCTGTTCTGTATCTTCTGTGCTGTATTATTTACATCTGCTTATTTTTATGTTTCAGTCAAAAACTAAACCCAAAAGAGTAAAAGCAATTTACAACTGTGTAGCAGATAACCCAGATGAGCTAACTTTTTCAGAGGGAGATATTATTGTGGTTGATGGTGAAGAAGACCAGGAGTGGTGGGTGAGTATTCTTTATATTCTAGTACACACTTTGAAAAAATAAATGAAACCTAGAGGCTGACACTGACTTCAGAGGATTCCCCACTGTGTTTCCAAGTAACAAGAAAAGTTTCATCCCATGGAAACGTAATTTCAGAAATATCCTCTGTTAAAAAAAAAATCAAACTTCAGACAAGTTTTGTTTTTTTCTTTTTAGCTTTTCTCATTCAGAAAATCTGATCAGTATTAGTATGGTTCACAATACACAGGGGATTCAGGAAATTTTTTTGGGGTGTCAGCAATTTAAGAATCTGATGCTCCTACAGATGCTGTGCGGTGGGCCTTAGAAGACAGCTTTGTGCTGTCCTAATTCTTCAGCTGAGTGAGACTGAGAAATGGTCTCTTTGAGCTGGAAAACCATCTCAAGTATTTACATTCCAGAGTCTCATCAGCTAAAGTCAAGTCTTGGGTAATTGTTTTGCATGAAAACACTTGCCTTACTCTGGTAGCTAGTGAAGAAGAGATCTTCAGATTGCATCTAAATTGACAGTAGTGCTGTGTAAACACAAATAGACTAATGTAAAATACAAAACTATTGAAGCTTGATCCATCCTTTTACCTTTCAGTGATTGCTAAGAGGGGGAAGCAGAAGCAACTTAAGAGAGGCAGACTGTGGGTTGTGAGGCATTACAGAATGCGCTGAAACGATGCAGCAGTGGTACTGCATTAAGAGGTGTTACTTTCAAAGAACTGGATAAAAGATTTGAATTTGGGGGAAGGAAAATGTCTGTAGCTGAGAAACAAATGCACCCTGTAGGACTGAATTTTCCTGTTTGCAAAAGAAACACACCACTACAGCAGAAGTAATGCAGGGAGAGGCTTGTCGTGCTACAGGCAGGAAGGTCACTGGAATTCACCTTGGTGGTACTGAAATTCCATTTTGAGACTAACTTGAAAAATATCTGGACTCTTTCAGATTGGTCATATTGATGGAGATCCCAGTCGGAAAGGAGCTTTCCCTGTATCATTTGTGCACTTTATTGTTGATTAAATTGCTACTGATAAGTGGAGACATTTCTCATTTCCAGCAGTCACAGGAACAAGTTTTGCTCTATTTCATTTCATCTACCTATCTGCAGACACCTTGCCAGAGCACTGCCCAAGTCCTAGGTACTGTAGCTTACTTTTCTTACTGCCATTGGTCTGGTTTTAGGACTTTTAGAACTTTTTTCTATGTGAAAACCTCTCATGAGCAGTTTACACTTTAAGAAAAACAACTCTTCCTGTATTTTTCAAGGTGAACTGAAAAGCTTTAACAATCAATATCCACGTAAGTGTGTGAGCATCACAACATAATGAATGTTCTCTTCAATGAATTCACTGTAATTTTATTCTGTTTTCTAACATGACAATGCCACGGTTCAGTGTTGCTTCCCCAGTCAAAGAAATGGTGCATCTAATAGGGCAGTGAATTTATCCAATTCTTAATACCATTTGAAGTGTTGGAACCAAAACATGCAAGCTGCTGTGTAATTCTAAATGGGACTCACTCAGCATCTTGCCATACTGGCTGTCATCCAGGATATCAGCAGTTACTGAAGAAACTATTTCAATTGGGTGTCTTTGGCTAGGTAAAAGTAAAAAAGTATTTCAGTTTACCACAGGAAAAATTTCTTTTTTTCAGAATGGATGTAGATATTTGCTTCAAGTTATCTGAACTCTGTGTTAGTCGCTGAACTTCCTAGTTCTAATTTTGTGAGCTTGAGACTGTTTCATTTTACTATGCTGCACGTGAGTAGAACCTGTTTTCTGAATGTTCTTTATGTACGTTACATCCATTTTGGTCATTTAGTGTGACTACTGCTGGTTAACTAAACTATGGCAATATTAGCGAGTTACTACATTAACTCACGGATAGGAAAACTGCACTTCCTGAAATGTATTTTACCTTGATGATGGATTGCAGAGCTTTTCTTACACTTGTCTCATTATAGTGTTGGGACTTTGTTTTTAAATTCTTGAATTTTCTTAATTCATCCAACAATGTGTTCACAGAGGGAACATAGTTGGTGGAACACTTACCCTTGGTCAAGAAGGTATCGGACACCTCACAAGTACACTACATTATCTTCGGGTTTATACAATTTGTGTGCCACTACCTTGCAAACAGTGCTGGTTTGCTAACTCACTCTGTATTTATATAATATACCCACCTATATGGTAGCTACACTGTTGTTAAATTTTTTTTTTACTAATCTGTAAACCAAGGCTAGGCCATGGAGAGTTCCCAGTCAGCTGATGGAATACAAAACACCAGCACACCTCTGATGTCATTTTGACGTTTCTGTCTTGGAAATTGTGCCGGGTTTTGCTTACACTACAGAAGACAACTGGTGGCATAGGACAAGAAAAGTCAGCCTCTGGGTCCATCATGTTCTGTGAATATTTTATCTGTAGATTGATCAAGAGAACTTTGAATTTCTGGCAGATGGTATTGAAATTGGCCATTGCATACTGAACAGTGGAAAATAGGCCACCACCATCCATGCTTGTTTGGGGAACAATCCTGTTGCGTTCGTGCTGGAACAGCAACACTGATCTTACCTTGTATCGCCTTTCCTGAAGGGTACAGTTGGGCAAGAGCCTCACGTGTGTGGGTACAGCCACATACATGCATAACCTCCCTTTCCAAGAGCTGTTGCTGCAGTGTAAATGGGGAACAAACTGGAATGTTTCAGGATATTTTTGTTGCAAGTTGAAGCAAATTAAGTCTGTATTTTCGAAGTTCCCAGTAAAATGATAGAGGAATAGTTTAGCACTACACTTTTACCCACTTCCTGCTACATTCAGTTTGCAACACTATTTTGTATGTTTCTATCCCTGATAGAGTCTAGAGAGTAAATGGGCATATTATTTTGCACAGATCTCCTAATGTACAGTATTTTTAACACAGAATCTTATAGTGTATGTAACAACTTGTCAAGTTAAACAATGATGCAAATTTTCCTGGAGTTCCTAGGAAAAGGAATATTCCCAGAAGAGGAATACACTTCAAAACGTCACCACCTTGTTCACTGGTCACTTAGAAACTAGGAAACTTCTAGACTACAACTTAATAGCACTAATAGTGTGGACAGATAAAACCTGGTGGACCAATAAAGAGCAGCTAAGCAAAATTTATCCCTAGATTTTCCATGTTTCTCAAAGTTTGGTCCTCTGGCAGAGGAAAAAGAAATTCTAGAGCCTGTAGATATCTATTTATAATATAAAATTAAGAATTCTAAGTCCAAGATTTTGGCATATTTCATACAACTTTTCAAATCTGATTAAAATAATGATTGAAAAAAATCTGTTAATAGACAGACTATTAGGTTGCTGTGTTAACTGTTTAAAAAGGAGCAAGTGACACTTAAAATGCAGCTTAGAGTGCTATGAGATGTATAATATTCAATTCAGTTGTTTTTATTTCGTTTAGTTGCAGAGCAACTGTATATATTGTATAACCTAAAATCAACTCTTATTTTCAACGTCCTGGATGCAGTGATTTATAATTAGAGCATGATTAATAAATTTTACTCTTGTTAACCAGTCAAATGTCTGGAAAAATAAAACTACTTTTAAAATCACTTTGGCTGCTTCCCTTCTGTTACTCTGCTTTGATTAGGAAATAGCTTTTCTCAAAGTATCAAATGGGAAATACAAACAGCACTTGAGCAGCAAAATTACATCTTACGCATTTTAGCTGAATGTAGGAACCATCCAGGGAGCAGACCTTAGGTGAAACTAGAGGTTTGAAGTACCAAATGACTTTGCTCTTGTTTTGCTCTATTATCTGGGTTAAGCAGAACTGAAGTCTACATTAACAAAACGTTTTTCAGACAAAGAGATGTGTCAGTTTTATTTTACATTTCTACAATATTGACATTAATATACAAAACATTATTGAGGGGAAAATACCATGTTAAATACAAAATCCTGTCTTGTCCTGGCAACTGAAGGTGGAATGATTTCTTCAAGTTACGTCTGGAGAATGAGAGAGTACCATATGCAAGTTTGCATAGCTCTTGTTTGCACAGGGAGTCTTTTCTGGGACTCTGTAGCTGCAGCCAGTCTGTGGTGTCACGAAGGAGCCCCATTTCCTCCCCACACAAAGGCCTCTTGTGCTACACCATCATGTGCAGCTGAAGAACATCAGGACTTCTCTGACATTAAAACTGAATCAAAGGCTGTAGATAACACTTTGCAAATAGCTTGTGCTTGTTCCTAAAAAAAAAAAACAAACCAAAAGACCCCACCCAAACACACCCATTAACACTTTCTAAAGAACATCTGAATGTCTCAAAACTCATTTACAGCAGAATGTGGCCTTTATGATTCTTTTGGCAGACATGCAAAATGGAGTAGCACAAGTGAGATTTAATTTGATTTCTGTGGTCTGCAGTGACATGTGGGAAGCTGTTTTGAACGAGCTCTTTTGAAATAAGTCAGAGTAGTGAGCTTTCATCAGAGCACCATGCTAGCATTCAGAAAGTCAATCTGTGTGTTCCCCCAGTGCTGGGGGGGTATGCGTCATAGTATAGCATCTTGACAAGGCATTCTACTCTTAAGAAGGGATCACTTCCCTTGCTTGTAAATAGGAATGCACACTCTATTTCTAGACTTGTTACTTGATCACTCCCTGCTCAGTCCCATCTTAAGAGGTTTTTGTCTTTGAAAATACAAATGGAGAATTGTCCTTAGCAGCTACAGTAGCACTCTTCAGATTGCAGAGAGCTTTCTCAGGTGTGTACATTCACTGGCAATTTTATACATTCACTGGCAATTTTAGGGACTGTAGGTATTTTCCCTCTAAGCTGATCACATGCAGTCAGCAAATTCTCCCCAACTCAGCCAGGGCATATTGAGAACTTTTTTTTTTTTTTTTCAATTGAGCAATCCCACTTCTGCCAAAAAGACTTCATCAAGGGCCTTGGGTTTTAGAATCTCCCTTTTCAATCAGAATACTGATACCTAAATTAAATACTGTAAACATGAAGTCTTACCAAACTATTGCACTGATATACCCAGAGGCTGCATTCTTCAGAGGCTGCATCTGTTGTCTTCAAAGCCAGTAAACTTTTTCCTGCTCCCAGACCATCATCGTAGCACACCATCCGTACAATTAAATAGAGAGCATGCCTATGTAACACATCCTGAAACCACGTGGCAAATAAAAGTTACTCTGGAACAGTGCAACGGCTATTTGAGTTTTCCAGCTATTTTGATACTCTCTCTCACAAAAGAATACTTTGGATTTACTCACAGGAGAAAAACATTCGTTGGTAAGCTTAAACTTTTTAATTAAGAGTTTAGTTGAGATATAAAAAAATGGGGGTTTAATGCAACTTTAGCTTTAATTTTTGCTTCCATTTTAGAACTGCATTCATATGTGGACACATTCATTTCCCACCTGTCCTCACTCATTCTGTGTGAGCAGGACAAGCAGGATGCTCTGTACCTCTGGCACAGATGTAACGTAGAACAACTTCTTACTTTTCTGGTACTTTTCCAGACAAGCCCCTGTGCCAGTTCTGGCAAGGGTACCGGAGACAAGGTTAGTTGCTTTAGGATGGTGGTGTGGACTGAGCCACAGCATGGGCCCTGGCTCTTGCAGAGATCTTGTCTGGGAGATCTCTCTGATACAGCTGCAGGGTTTCACACCAGGCCCAACAGTTCCAGTCTTGATCATTCCAAGAAAGGATGGGTTTATGTGCAAGGTCTCTGCAGACCTAGCACACACAAAGCCTTTCTTCTCAAGCCATCTACCCAACTGGTAATACTCATTTGGTTTATTCCAGTCATACCACCTCCAGGGTCTTACAACTTCAACACAGCTCTTTTTGAAACACCTCGTCCCTATCACTAGCTGAAGGGTCTAAAGAAATATCCACTCTTGATACAAATGCTGTAAAAATGGACAGTGAGCTTGACGCCTGCTATGAAACCCTTGAGAAAAACCCTCTATCAGTGCTTCTAAGATCACCTTGTTGAAAAACATCTCCATTCCTGATGCTCCATCACACCACACTGAGAACAGCTGAAGCCAGTAAGTTCCAACTTACTGGAGCAACCCTCCAGTCTCCCTGTTAAAGATGCCAACCAAGTTTTCCCTCCAAATCAGGTGTAAATTTTTAGTTACTTGTTTGGAACTTACTACAGTGTTAATGTATGTGTGCATTATCACTGATAGAGAAAGACAGAATTCTTTAAAGGACACAATTCCCCTGTAAATCCATTTTCTCCTCTTGTTCCATTATTTGGCTATGAGGGGATCTGCAGCTGATAGGGAAATGAGATGGTAGATGGACAAACTGTGCCCTACATGTGCATACATACATATAATATACAAATATACACAAACAATGAGAAGAAGGTCAACGCCTCAGTGCGACTTCTGTAAATGCTTTGCCTTTGGTTTCTAATGCTTGCATCCCTAAACAATACAAATCAGTGAATTATGTATCTCTACATATTTCAGTCACTAATGAAATAATTTCTCAAACGGCTGAAATCCATGAGGAAAAATGTTGTATCCTGCAGTTAATTCTCTTTGGCATCTGAAATAAACAGCTGCCTATTTACCTGCAAAGGCATCTATGCATCACAGAACTTCCACCTTCCCCTGAAGTCATAGAAGACTGAACTCTTTTTATGAAGGCAGAGAAAACGTTTCCACCTTAGAACTCAAGTGGACTAACACACTAAAGAACAACTCAAATGTCAACAGTGACATAGATGCAAGAAAACAGAATTTGGGAAACAGTATGCAATGCAATAAAATGCCAGTGCAAGCTAGCTTAAACACAGATGACTTTATCAGCTTGGGCATGCTTGCAGCTTGAAGATGTAAGAATGATGGATAAAAGTTTTTAAATTACTTATTTGATCTTTATCAGAGTAAAAAGGAATATAAATAATAGCATAACCTATGTTCTTGATGAGAATTAACAATCTGGGAGGGCAGCAAAAACAAAACCCAAAAGAATTCCAGGTTTGAGTAACAATTACTACTTTTCCTATCAGGCATCATTAGAAACAAGTGTTCTATTTTCTTAAGGGACCAAAAGACACATTTTGCTTCAGGGTATTCAGCTGTTGAGCAATGCTATTCACCTTCCTCATACTCAAGGCCTTTATGAACAGGCTTGCTGATGGGCCATGACTTCATAAGGCCAAGTATTTGTGGTATCTAGGGCTCTTGAGGACAACCAGAAGGAAACCACATGGCTGCAATACAAAGCTACACAGCGGCAACTGGAGGGCCCTGGGGAAGAGACCGGATTTTTATTTTTAGCCAAAAAGCTACTTGAAGTGTGCTAAAGGAAAATAAACTACATGTTGGAAATGATGCAAACAAAACATAGGCTTGATCAATAAAGTGGAATCAAGAGGCTTTAATGCTAGAGTGAACTCGCACTCTTGGATTAGGAGTGCAAGGCTGGAACTTTAAAGAGGAAAAAAACTGATATTTTGGGAAAAAAAAACCAAACCAGAAACAAAAGCAAAAAAAAACCTTTGTTTTTTACTTCTCCACACTAACACCAACAGGAGTTGCATTCCTAACAGGCTGAGGAACCCATGGTCTGGGACACCACAGCTGTGCTACCTTTCCATACAAGAGAATGGCAGGACAGTCACAGAGAAAGGAAGATGTGCCAAAAGAGCATAAAGCCTTGTCTGCCTTATGTCCGGTGTTCTATCTCAAAAGGAATGGATTTTTCTCATAAATTCAACCAGGAAAATACAGAGTTCTGAGGAGAACTGACATGATGCAGTGCTGCTGTGAGGGCTTGTTTGTTTGCTTAAATAGATCACCTATCACAGAAATAAATCAATGCACTTCCCAACTCTCACCAAAAAGACAGTTTGTTGCGAATCACTTACATATTGATCAGATGTTGAAACTTTAATGCCGTATTTGGAAACTCCCATAATAAACTCCTCTTCACCTGGAACAAAAGGTAACTTTCCATCTTGCTTTGGAGGGAAACAAACAAAAGCCTTTAGTGCAGACAGAAGAACATGAACAATGAAGATACGTAACAGAAAATGTGTTTATGTGTCCTTCAGTGAAGTCATCAACATCACTAGCCCTGCTCCCATCTTCCTGTGTGGAGCCTGCCTGCCACTCTTCATTTGTCCAATCTCTTAAGCTTATGTAAAATATATTCAGGAGAGGTTTAGACTTGGCATGAGGAAGCATCTGTTTACTGAGAGTGTGGCTGAGCACTGAAACAGGCTTCCTAGAAAGGTGGTCAAGGCCCCAAGCTGGTCAGTGTTTAAAAGGCATTTGGACAATGCCCTTTAACTTCTAGTCAGCCCTGAGGCGGTCAGGCAGCTGGACGAGATGATCACTACGAGTCCCTTCCAACTGAAATTACTCTATTCTGTTCTAAATAGTCCATGATTCTGGAAAGAAATTTATCATCTCGGGGAAGTTTGGCCCTGTGGTCAAATCTGATGGGGTGAAAAATAATGCATGCTCTATCATGCTGTGCTGGGTGACCTATGTTCCACACAGGCCACAATATTGTTATTTGGCTGTAAAAGTAGTTTTGGCATATATTCAGATACTTGAAATGTCAAGGTGCTGCAAGACAAACATATTCTGTGATTTTAAAGATACAAATGATCAGCTATCTAGTGAGAACAACCAGTTATGGCTTTGAGTACAAAAATAAGTACAAGCAACCACAGTTTGGCCAGGATGACCTAAATACTAGTCAGATTCTTTGGTCACAGGTTCATAAGTGGCTGTAAGCAAAAATGACATTTTCCTCTATAGGAAAACTTCTACAGTACTGAGGACATCTGGAGGAGATAATTCTTTCCTGGATACTAGTCCTAACGGTGCTTAAGATAGTATAGCAACTTTCAGTTGGGATACTTGTTCAGTAATGATTCATGGAAGGGCCTTTGCTCTGAGCCTGCTTCTTCAGAACAGCTCTCTGGATGCAATTTCTCCAGTTAATCACTAAGATGGAATTGAGTGTAGCAGCTTTTGAGATTGACAGCTTAATGTTTTCTAAAGTAAGCTGCTTTACTGTAGTAAGTCTAAAATTTACACAGAAAGATGTCACATCACATGATAATATGAAAGAAATACGGCTAAGCTTAAGATGTTCTGACACTATTGGTATTGTCTTTTGTAACCCACTTACCTGTGCAACATCTATGTAATTTATCAAGTCCAGTGGCCCCTCAAGACTTTTGCTCTCATTGTATTTCAGTTTTTCAATGGCACCAACATATTTAACTCTGAATTCTGCACATGTATCAGAATTACTATTGCTTTGTCCTGCAACAAAATAAAGCAAAGCAATTCTGAAGAATTAGAGAACAGCAGTGCTATTCTAATGGGTGTAACAGGGCTAACCTAGTAAATTCTATCATTTTTGCAGACCTACATCAAACACTTAACCCCCTCCCCCCACAGTATGTTAACTCTCTAATGAACTCTCCTGGCCCATGGTGAAGTCAATAGTTTCATATGGATCCATGATACAGCACTGTTTATACTCATTCAAATTGGAGTTAACAACCTTGAATCAGAAAACACAGAAGTTGGTTCTAATGTTCACTATCATTTGTTTTAAATAAACTGCTCTGTTCAACAGTGATGCACTGTGATCTGATGTGGTACCAGCTGCTAGGAAGAAACCAGGACACCTGGTGAGCAAGAACCTGTAAAATCAAATCTTATTTCCATTATTTTAGTCCAAGTGTAAACTTTTAAAAGCAGGAAACACAACTTCCAAAAAGTTATACCAGATTTATCCTGTGTAACAGACTAGTAACTCAACTACTCTTACTCAAGATACTTTACCAAAAAAATGACTTAATCCTAGATGAATCATTAATAATACTTTAAAAGTCTAGAGCTATTCACACATTAGTCAACAGGCTAACAGATTCACTCACAATTAGTAAAATGCATATTTTAACCTTTTCCTTTTTCTCTGCTCTTTTATACAAACACACATAAAATTAATCCTGCTCCATACATAGCTGCTCAAACTCTGATTACATACCTGAACTTTTTGTGGAGTCTGTATCTAGACTAGCCACAGTACTAGACCTGGAAAGTCCCCCAAGACTGGAATCTACAGACTAAGAAAAAACATTAATATCATCAGAAAGTTACTAAGAACATATCAACATTTGGTGTTAGATACCTGCCTCAACTCTTTCTTTTAAATAAGCTAGTATTCATGGTCTAGTTACTTAAAGTAGCACCGCAAAATGGGGAGAAAAAACCAACACCTCTTTCTTTCCTGCACTTATCCTTCTGCCTTAACGTAAATCAAGACTGATACAGATTCAGCAGGAACCCTTCAGAAGTCCGCATGTATTTTGAAAAGAGAAGGAAATAAAAGAAAAAGAAAATGAACCTTCAGGTTATGTCCAGACTTTTCTGGTACTGCATCTTAACTTGAAGGAATTGACAACTACATGCTTGTCACCAATGCTTGAAATAACATAGCAGTGCAAGGGAAGTGAAACGGCACCTTGGAAAATCCAGAATATTCAACTGATCATTCCAAAACCTATCAGACAAAATGGACACATTATTCAAAAAGAAGAATACTTTTTAGAGATACCGAGTAACCAACTAATACTGTAGAACAAACTCATTCTTGGTACCTAGCACCAGGCACCTTCTTAAAGACAATATCACTACAGAACAAATGAACTACTTTTTCCTCCAAATCTTACTATGTGCTGCTACAAAATCCTGTGTCTGTGGGCATTCGAGCATTCATCTCGGAATGCAAGGGCTTTGTAATGGATAGGAGGTTTTAACTCTTATAACACAATCTGAGGAGTAGTGGAAGTAGCGAGTTCTCCCTGTTCGGAACAACAGAGCACTGAACTGTCAGCAGAAGTGCTTCCATAGCAGAGTATATACCACATTCAGCTTACCTTGCTCTTAGTGCTGATCTCACTGCTCTGGGAGCTGCTGCTGCTGTGCCGTTTTTTTCCTTTTCTGAACATTTTTTCATAATTGGATCAAGGAAGATCTTCTAGGAAGGAAAAATAAAAATTAAAGCTGTCAGAGCATCAAGGGAAAGAGTTCCTGGCAAGCACCAGAGTGACTGTGTCCACAGTGGATAAAAACTGGAAACTTGTAAAGAACTCTGAAGATGGAAGTAGGAATGTTCCTCTGCTGCTCTTCATGTGTGACTGGGAAAGTCCCTCCAGCTCTCTGCTAAAACATCCCTGCCCTCATCCATCAAAAATTGCTGCTCCCTAAGTTATAGACTGTGGCATATGCCAGTTTCTAATGCACACAAACATGTATGTAGAAACAAGACAAAATTTAAAATTTATATTCCCACTTAAAAGCATGAGATTAGTTTTATCTGTAACTATAATCAAAGTGCCCTACAAAGTGCATCCAGTGCAAACCCTGCTCCAAGTATTATGTTCCCATTAAAAATAAAACCAACAAACCAAACAACCCCAATTCTGAAGAACTGACTGTAACACTTCTAAGAGCAGCCATTACTACTTAACATGTTCCTGAAAATTAAAGCAAGCAGCATGCTACATTTACTGCCTCAGAACAGAGTTAGAGGGAGTTCTGAGAGTATTCCCAAAGCATTTTTCCTGTGTCTACCCAACTACTTCAATTGCTTCACATAACACTTGGCCAGACAGTGTCAAGAAGCAGGACACTGACTCCCCATCTGGGAGTGCTGAAACCCCATTTCCCAGCTTCTTCAGGAAAGAATATTGTAATTACAAAGCTTTCAGAGATTCTGAGCAGGTAGAAGAAAGAACACACAGGAGAAACACAGCCTCAGCACTGTTCATAACGGCGGTAAGTATGGACGACACACAAGGTGGAGCTGAGATCTGAGATGCCGTGCTGGATTACAGCCCCCAGCCTGCTGCTGTGTTTGCCATTAAACAAACACTGGGTCCCTGGCAGACCAAAAGCCACCCAGCGAGAAGCCTGGGTACCCAGCACAGATGGGGCAGCCCTTTCTGCGGAGCAGCACAGGCACATCTCCCAAGTCTGCCTGCGGCCTCCGAGCATGGCACAACTTAACATAAGCTACCTCAAAATCTCCTTCAGTACATTAGCTAAGGACCTCTTAGCACACGCATCCGGTGCGGCAAGCATCGAGTCCTGCTCCAGCTCAGCTCTGCAGCGCACCCGCGTTTTGCTTATCTCCTCCCTGTTTCTACCTGCAGCCCCAGATGATAACCTGGCGAATTAAGAAAGGGCAAGCCCGCTTCCTACAGACAGGCGAGAGGCAAAGCTCCCGGCGCCGCGGCCGGGGGAAGGCAGGAAGGAGCGCGGCCCCTCCCATAGCGGGCGGCACCGAAAGCCCATTGCCCGCTCGTCCCCCCAGCCTCTTCCCCGGCCCTCCCGCCTTCAGGGAGGCACCGCTGCCGGGACCTCGACGCCCGGAACCTCCTGTACTTCATACCCGACTCGCAGCTGCCCCTCACCTCGCCCCACAGCCCGCGCTCGTCCTCCCACTTCCGGGTCGCCCCGCCCCGCATGCGCGCAAGGCTCTGAGGACAGGAAGCGGAAGGCGAGCGGAAGAGGAAACCGAGAGGGAACGGGAGGCGGGAGGGCTTGGGTCGGGGTCAGCGCGGGTGCCTCCGGGGCTTAGGGCGTCATGTCCGCCAAGCGGAAAGCCGAGGCGCTGATCCCGGCGGAGGAGAGTGATCAGCTGCTCATCCGGCCCCTGTGAGCGCCCGGGGCGGGCGCGGCGGCGGGACCCGCGCGTTGGGTTTGGGCACGGGGTGTCGGGGGGGCGCCGGGGTTGCGGCCAGCCCGGGGTTAGGGGAGGAGCCCGACCTATGAGGTGGGCGCGGGCCCCAGCCCAGCGCTTCCCCTGGGCCCTGGTTGTGTCATCGCGACCCGTGAGGCGGGAGCGTGGCCTGGGCGGCCCGGGAGAAACGGTGTTGATCACCGTTCAACTCCTCAAAGGGTGTTGAAATCCCGGGCTATCTTCCTCTTCCCTTCCCTGCGTTTGCCGTCCCTGGGAGAGCTGTCATGCTCAGCTGGAAGGATCGTGGCTTTTCCCTGTGCGCTGCTGAAGTGCTGTCTGAGCAAAACGTTTCTGTTTTACCTTTGCACTTCGACAGCACTGTGGGTCTTGTAGTACTTTAAGTTGATTTGTTTGTTTCTGGTGAGGATGCCAGTGCAATTTGCAGGTGTTTCTGGTAGCACCACAAGAGTTGTCTTCTGGACAACCTGAAGATGCTACTTAAAGCTTATTCACCCCAACATAATTTGTTCAGTAAGCTTCCCATTCCTTATACATCTCAATACTTTGAGACTCAAGTGTGCAGGCATGCAATAAAAGATGGAAGAGACCAAAATAATTTCCCCAACCATTCTTCATATTTCTCCTGCATTAGATAGGGCCTTATTTCCATTGAGATAAATATAACTGTTCTGCTACTTTAAGTGTTTCAGCTTAAAAGGTTGTTATTTCTACACAGAAAAATAATCCCACTAAACACATCCAGTATATAGTTGCATCCATATGGTGTGAGTTGGTTTAATTATGATGACTTTGATGTCTTTTTGCAGAGGTGCTGGCCAAGAAGTGGGAAGGTCTTGCATTATTCTGGAGTTTAAAGGAAGAAAAATAATGGTAATTATTGTATGAATGTATTTATGTGTTCTCTCATTATGGTGCTCCAGATCACAAAAAGTTGTTAAGGGTTCAATTCAGCTGCCACACTGAAGTCAGTCACTGTGCTAAAAGAGGAAGGTTTTACAGCTTTCTGGAACAATGTAACATATAACAGGCGGTATTAGAGAGGCTGTCCTGTAAAACAGCTCCATATCCTCAAACAGCATGTGTGTGTCTAAAGTGTAGATTCTAAATCACAGAATACCAGGTTGGAAGGGACTTCAGCGATCATCTGGTACAACCTTTCTAAGGCAAAGCATGACCTAGACTAGATGTCCCAGCACCCTGTCCACCTGGGTCTTTAAAGTGTCCAATGTTGGGGAATCCACCACTTCCCTGGGGAGATGATTCCAATGCCTGATTGCTGTCATTGTGAAAAAAAAAACCACAAAAAATGTACACGTTAGGTTTCAGTGTAACCTCAGGGTAATGTTTACCAACAGTTATGTGTAAACAGTCACATAGAAACACATAGCTCTTCTCTTCCTCTTTTCCAGCTGTCTTCTTGTATGGTGGCTGGAATAACTTGGACATTGTGACTATTATTACCTGTATTCAGGTGTTGCTGAAGTGTGAGTGAAGGCTTGCATAGGTGCTAAATTATAATCAAAGACTGGGATCTTTTGAGAAATTTTTGGTGTCCCAGTGGAGATGAGTCATTTAGACAGAAGCCCAAGATGTGAAATCCGGTGCTAAAAGCAGCATTTAAGGAAAAAACACTTTTTGCATGATGCTAAAGTCACTAGGAACTATATTTTAGACCAAACTGGAAGAACGTTTCTTGCATGTTATGTTCGAAGCTTTAACTTCCTTTCATTTTTCAGCTTGATTGTGGAATCCATCCTGGACTGGAAGGAATGGATGCTCTTCCTTACATTGATTTGATAGATCCCGCTGAGATTGATCTCCTCTTAATTAGTCAGTAAGTTGCACCTGAAAGATCAAATAACTGAGGTTGTGGTTGAAGCTGTGTTCACTGAGAGGCTGAAAAGAGGTGTCATATAGATGGTAATGGCGTGGCGAACTTTTAGTTTCCAACTTTTTTTAAATTGAGGGTGTTCATTTCTTGACATTAGAACTCTCCTCTGAGCTCGCTGTGATATCTGACTTACAACCTGGCCTGCTTTAACACTGTTGTGACAGCTTCTAGGAGTCTTCCACATGAAGACTGCTGAAAAGTATTGGTTGTGGTTTTTGCTCCATTGGCTTTGAATGAAGAAGGTTCTTGGACACTTAGGCAAGCTTTGAATGTGGTTTAAATTTTGCTTAGTGGCTGAGAGACAAGAAGAGCATTTCTAAATGATTTAACCAGTCATAACCAGGTCTCTATAAAATCCTGAGCTTTCACGCTATGTGCTTGTTTGAATTCTGTTTCAAAAGTACTTCCTTAAAATAGGTCAAACTTAAAGTGTGGCCAAATAATTTTGTTTTAGTAGTTAGCATTTTAACATAGTGTCCACCATGCAAACTTAAGATTGCATTTGTTAGCTTTCTTATATCTGACATTTATAGTGTTCCTGGTTCCCCTTGGTTTTCTCCCTCTAAATTTATATGTAGATTACAAAAAGGTTAATTCTGAAATTATTTGGGTAAAACGTTTGCCATTAATGGGGAATTTCCTCTATTACTCTTAGGTCTTCCTGTCTGCATATCTAGTCACTAGTGTACAGAATGTAGACCAGCATAGTTAACAACAGCGTTGAGAATTCTGCTTCT